GCTTCAACAAGTGATCTACACTGTGCTTCAAAAATTGAATACTGAGTGTCCTTCCAATGGGGCCTGCGTGTATATGCAAATGTTCAGGTTGTAATTAATTGCCAAAATAATATATTTTGTTAACTACCTATTTTGTTTTTATGCCAAAGTCATAAAAGATAATGTTAAGTTTAAAACCTAAGAAGTAAATCTTCAAAGCCATGCTTCTCAGAGATTACTTTTTCTCCAATCAGGTTTGAATTTCTGAGAGAGATTGATGTAACATTAGATTATGGATAAGAATAACCAACAAGAAATCTTGAACTTCATATTCTACCCAATTTTGTCACATTCTTAACCCTTTCATACATGTTATAGCATTGCATTAAACTGACAATAATTGATACAAATGCAAAAACATAACTGGTTTGATTAAAATTTGAGTTGAGAGCAAATGTTATAGCAAAGCCCAACTTATTTGTAATGATCACCAATTCAGAGCCAATCCATATACTATGATTAAATAAACACTAGATGTAAGAGCAGGCTAGAATACATTTCTCATTTCTATAAATAGTCCTGAAATCTTTTAGAGCTCCAAGAAAAAAATGCTGAAACTTCATGGGAGAAAATAGAACTATACAGACAATAGGAACACACACTTCAAACATAAATCAAACTATGTGAACACAGCTTTACACACAAGCTACTCATTAATAAAAATGGTTAATAACTTCAAAGCATTTCACATTCCTATTACAAATTAATCCTTACTGTAATGCTGACTTAATCAAGCTATATGAGTTCCCGTTTCAGCAGAAGAAACTGAGGGAAAAAATAAAGCATGTCTACATTTACAGTCATGAAAATATTTAATAACAATCACTGACTGTCTTTATCTACAGGACAATAAAAGTCACTGCATAGAACCATATCAATGTTTAATCTCAATAGTACGAGATGCCAGGAAGACTCGAAACTCTAAGAAAATCTCTTGGAAATTTCTCTGATTTGTTTCCTAATTACCTAACTGACAAACCTCTAAGGGCAAACCACAGTTGGTGCTAAGAGCTATGTTCTAATGTACAGCAAGTAAGACGAGTGAAAAAAGACCAGAAGTAGATTGTTACCAAGCACTGCACAGGCAGAGGACACTACTGCCACCACTGAAAGGTTTCTAATTTGAAGTGAGGATATATGCAATAGATACAAAGTTACAAATGAAGATTTATATTTTCAAATTTCTCACTCAAAAAGATATCCAGGTAAGGATAAAAATTAAAAGTAAGAATTCACTGCTCCCGTCCCCCAATCCCCACCACATCCTTCAACTACATTAATAGGAAAGTAGTTTTACAGAGGTAATTGATCAGATCAGACTTTGTCCTATTCTGATCCAGCACAAATGCAAAAACCAAAGACGTAAAAATAAAGAAGGCCAGTTTGCACTATGTACATGGGGAGAGTGAGAACACACTGAGTGGCTTTAACATAGTGGTCACATAGCACTCCAAATGGGAAAAAAAAAACTACTGAACTTCCCCAAGATACTCTTGGGATTATTTTACACACATAAATATGTTTACATAATTAATTTGAAAACAATTAATATAGTTACAATGGTACCACCGGCCTCAAAATAATGAAACAATATGCAGTAAATTTTGTTATTTGAATTTGACTATTCAAAGTTTGGTGTCTTTGAACTGTCTTCAACTGAAAAATAGGAAAGGAACTACATGCCTTTTGAAAATTGAGATAAAAAATCACAATGTTATAGCATAAAAAACATCATCATAATGTGTAAATATTTTTTAGATGAATGTAAACCATAATGCTAACATATTAAGGTGGAAAATGCCAAAATTAATTCCTGTTACTTTGAAAGAATTTGTTTCCATTAGCCAATACTTATTCAATGAACTAAAGGACTTCATATCAATCTTGTCTAATTTTTATAAATAATAGCAATTAAAACAATGAACTAAGAATTGTATATCAATCTTGTCTAATTTTTATAAATAATAGCAATTAAAACATGACTATCAAAAATCAATAGCTAGACTTCAGTGCTCATCTATATTATAAGCAAGAATGTAAAGATTTTGATATGTTATAAATTATCAGTTACATGATAATTAAACCAGGAGTTTCTGGCTTTTTTCTTTTCCTTTGCAAATTTAAGGTTTTCTCCTTCAAGAAACTTCTTCTAAGAGAAAAAAGAAAGATACAATTCAGAACTATTTTATTTTTTAATTACCCTGCATAATGGATTGCAAAGCAATGTTTCTGAATAATAAGTACCTAGGTTTCAAGCCAGGTAAGTCAAGAATGCTTTATAGAGGCTTAGTAATGTTTTTGCCTACTAATAATTAATTTCTTGATGTAAGAGAAATGCAAAGTAAGATCATATGAGATATCTATTTCCTAATCTGTATGATGATATTTTAGGAACAATATTAATTACTCCTAGTTAGACGAAGCTGCAGCAGTATTAACATCTATTCTGTACAAAATAAAAGTATTTCAAATGGATCAGGGACAGTAAATAAGTCATCATTAAAATTAAAGCATGAGGAAGAGGAAAAGATAATGGAAAAAATCTTTATTGTACTTTAAAACAATTTACCTATAAGTAAGCATTTATTCTTTTTACTTCAAAGTGATATTTAAACTTAGAAATGCTAAAATATGAGAAACATGACATAAAAATATCTTTAAAATATTTTAGTGCAGAAAAACAATGACTGCTGCCCCTGTATGCAGATTTCCTATTGCTTTATTAAGTCTTTTAAGAAACTAGTAAAGTAATTCCTTTTATTTTTACCATAGGAATCATAAGCTAGAAATGCAATAAATTTTCTATGTATTCAAGAATAATGATAATTTATCAAAAGTATCCATGACTTGGATTATAACTAAATCCAACAACATATATTTATACCCCCACTAATTATTCATCCCACATTTTTCATTAGGAAACAGAGATGCACATGCCAGTTACTGTACATTTTTCCACAGTGGCAAGTGCTCCACAATACAGTGGGATAAAATTGGAGCTTGGAGAGCTTGAAGAGCACTCTTAAATTTTAATTAAAACCCTCCAAGCTCACTAAAAATAATTAGACACTAAAATGTGCCAGTTTTATTTTGAAGTCACTATAACGTACAAAGCACACTCCCTGACGACTGTTCATGCTCTTTTTCCCTCTGTCTCCCTTTCTCTCCCACTCTTTCCCTCTCCCTCTCTCTCTCTCTCTCTTTCCAATGAAACAACTGATTTTCCAAATAAGAACAAGGGGGTATAAATAGAGGCTGTTTTCAGGCCTGCTCTTCATGTTGGGAGGCTGACAGAAAAGACAGTACAGTGGGTTTTTCAGACTGCACCAAATAAACTTAGAATAACTTCCCTAACCAAGAGTGAGAATCACTAACTAGATAAAATTCAGTCTGCAAGTAACACCATGAGTTATATCACTGATTTTTTTGATCCAAAAGCCAAACCTTTAACCTCTTAAATGTTTTTGCTATCTTAAAGTATCTCATATAATGCTATATTCCACCCTATTTTTAGCCAAGCAGCAAGAGAA